TTAAATGTTTATGTAATTAATACGATTTTTAATAATGTAACTTAAATATTTTGAATGAAAGCTAGTTAACTTTAATTCATAATAATAATTTATATGTTTGAGGATATATATTTATTTTTTTCTTGTTTTTAAAATCCATTTTAACCACATATTAAACCCTTTATTTGCCAGCCTATCTGTGTCGTTGGCCTTATGACGAGGAGTGCCTGTGGGTTATCCTAATCGTTCTGTCTTGGTCACTCTTGGTCGGGCCTGGTTGACTTTCCAGTCAGCTCCTACAATGTCACTTGGCCACCTCTAGATCTGTGTTTGCCGGTCTAGACGTAATCGATGCACTCCTTAAAGTGCCACATTGCAGCGGTCCCAGAGCGTTAACGAGATCTGATTCCTAAGTTGAGAGCTGTTCTTCCTGTAACGCTTCCGAATAACGAGGTCCTGGTCGAAAAGAGTTGAAAGATTCGAAATTAGGTGGTCGTTGGAATCCTGATCGCAGTAAAGTGGTCCTTGGTGACATCAAGCATAGAGAATGTCTGGATCCATCCATAGTCTCCTGATAGGGAGGGCAGTGCGATTAATGGCTTCCATCGACTGGGTAGTGTTCGGCAAGTGGGTGGCGAAGAGCCAGTCGGGCATATGTCATGACGGTATCTCCGGTCGCTTAATGCAGTTTGCTGCTTGGCTAGCCTAGGGAAATGTTAATAAAGGTAAAGTAAACTATATTTTTAATGACATATGGGGCACAAAATAATTGGTGTTATGTAAATGTAATTCTGTATTCATATTAGACTTGTAATGTAAATGGAAATTGAAATAGTCCAAAAATATATGGGTAGTATTTCAAAGTCAATCCAGTATATATAAAAATGTACTCTTTATTTCTTTCTCTCTCTCTCTTTCTTTCTCTTTATTTAAATAATCTATAAAATCACTGTAGACTAATATTTACCTTAATGTTGAGACACTACATTAGCATTTTGCTTAAAGCAATATGCTTTTCTCATTTATTTCGTGCCCTGATASAGATTGTGATACAGATAATGCAATTTTGATAGAATACAAGTATGGCAGMTGCCATGTTTGTGATTTATCTAACAATTTCTCTTTCAGTAGTTAAAAATTTCTTTTGTTTGCTTTAAACTGTTTTTGTATAGATAAGTSTTAATTTTACTTCTTTGCATAACATAAATGRTCTTGTGTTAGGATCTCAAAGACTTCATGAGACAAGCCGGGGAAGTAACCTTTGCAGATGCACACAGACCTAAGTTGAATGAAGGGTAAGCATAGCGAGACCTTTTGAAAGCTGTAGAGTAATACCTGTGCATGTAATATTTGGGGAGAGAAGCTGGCTACTTTCTGTGTCAGCAGCTGTTGCAGCTTAATTTAGCTATCCTTTGAAAATGTTTGGGGAGGGAATTTTTCATGCTTCAGTGATGACAGGGGATAATTACACTGACCAGTGTAGGTTTTGGGAGTTTGTTCGGTTTGAGGGGTTTGTTTGGTGTTTCTCCCAGTGTAAATTCTGCTTGTGTTGGTAAATAAAATTTGTAATAGTGAACTTTGTTTTTTGGGGATTTTTTTTCTCCTGTAGGGTGGTTGAATTTGCCTCTTACAGTGATCTAAAGAATGCTATTGACAAGCTTTCTGGTAAAGAAATTAATGGAAGGAAAATCAAACTAATCGAAGGCAGCAAAAGGCACAGGTACATATTTCTATTCTACTCTCTTGAATAATGCTTAAATACTGACTGAGAACCATTGAAGTCGGTGACCAGGCAAAGGAGCTGGAGAGCAGTGGATTGCCTGGGTACAGCCRTAGCCCGCGAGGTTCCGTAGCTGACACCGGTGCTCTCTGTTGTCCCCTCAGTAGGTCCAGGAGCAGGTCGCGGTCGCGCAGCAGGAGCTCATCCGGCTCTCGCAGCCGCTCTCGTTCCCGCAGCCGCAAGTCCTACAGCAGGTCACGGAGTAGGAGCCATAGCAAGTCTCGATCAGTTAGCAGATCCCCACTGCCAAACAAGAGCCAGAAACGGGGTTCTTCCAGCAGATCCAAATCTCCTTCATCTGTGGATCGGCAGAGGTCTAGATCAAGGTCTAGATCTGTTGACAGTGGCAACTGAACTATAATTAACTTGCCCTGGGGGCCCTTTTTTAAAACCATACTTGCTAAACTTGTGGTAAGTATGTGACTTTCTGTGGGGAAGGATTTCGATGGGGAGGTGGGGAGGGTTGGGGGATCTTTGTAGATGTGGACCATGGTGGGAAGGGTTATTGACTAATTGTATTAAATGTTTTTGATAACCCTTTTCTTGCTCACATTTTTTGTGACTGTCTGAAGTGTATAGTTTGTGTATATTGGCAGAGCTCTTTATAACTAAGGCAAATTTTTTTGTACTCTAAAGTCATCTGAACACTCAGTTCTCAGTATATTCAACTGTGAATAGYAACTCAAAACCATTAGTTTAATAATTCAGACTAATAGCTTTAGGCATCTAAGAGCTCTATATGTGCTGTACATAAAGCTTTATTTCAGAGGGTATTTTTTTGTGCGTTTGAGACATTGTTTCAGCTCTGGATCAGCAAATTAAGTGCTGGTCAGTACTGGTAATAAAACTTTATTTTAAAATACTTTCATTTAATACGACTTGCACTACACTAAGGAAATGCCCATTTCACTGCCCTGTGGTAATAATATTCTATAAAGCACTCTTATTTCTTGATACCTAAGAATTAAATAGTTCAAATAAAGTATAAAGAAACATTTCTGCTTCTTGTTCGTTTCTGATTGTTAATAAAATGGTTGTGACTGTTAAAAYGGTTCTGGAAGATGGGGCTGTGGCAAAGTGGTAACTGTTTTGGGCAGCGGGGGAGAATTAGTGTCCTTTTAAATACATCATGTGATGTCCTTGGATGTCTCTGTGTTCTGAAATAAAAAGATGGATAAACTGGCTGTCATAGTTCATAGCTGGAGTGGAGAGGATGAGTCATTTGGCTTTTAATCACTTGGGATAATTGTGGAATGTTAAAGACAGATGTAGTCAGCATACTTCATTAGGGTGTTTGTGCACCTGTATGAGAACGCTGAGGTGTAGATGAACCACTTTTGTAGGCATAAGTCCTTGTTGTAGGGGAAGAGGAATTTTTAAATTGGGTGGGAGTACTGCCGTAGTGGGACCCTGAGGTTCTCTTTTTCAGTGTTTGTGCTTTCCTGTGGCAGTAGTCCTCTCCAATCCCTGTGCTTTCTCAAGCTGTCACCCACAAGAGAACTTCAGAATTTAAAAAACTTGTTTTCTTACAAAGTGCTTTACAAAACTGGTAGTCGGCTGAAATCTTTAAAAGGGTCTTTATAGCCTAGGTTAGCATTTGGATAGATCATAGGAAATGGAAACGCAAGGTGGTTCCTCTCAGAGTGGGGTCTGGTCTGGTGGGAGGTCAGGCATTTGGTCTTGTTATCCCTGCTGCACAGTCTCCCTGCTGCACAGTCTCCCTGCTGCACAGTCTCCGTACTGCTGCAGAGTTCTTGTGGGCCAAGCTAAGGAAGGAGGAGGAGCTCTTGAGCCAGGTGGGTCTGCCGGGTGAGCCTGTTGGACTGCCAGGTGCTCCAGAGAGCAGGGGTAGGATCCACAGTTAACTGGACCATTGCCAGTCAGCTTTGGGGAAGGAGAAGCTTCCTTCTTAGAACCTTGGTGCAGATGCTGGACCACGACGAGACATGGAACAAGGGGGTTTTAACTTCAGTGGTAAAAGCATTCACACTCATCTGGGTGGAAGATCAACTGTGTTGAGATCTCAAGTCCATTGATCGTGTTTACTTGGATGATGATTGTTATCTGTGTCCAAGTGGGACTTGGTTTCAGCTGGAACCTGATGTGCTGAAAAGGGTCATGAACTTTTCTTGGGCTAAATGTGGAGTATTACCTGCTTTATAAATACTTACTCTAAATTCTGTTTCTAGACTGCACCACTTACCTGCTTTACAAGCAGCACGAGTAGGTGTCAGCATATTCCYGAGGAGCTGGCTGTTGCAATGATGAGCTTCCCGTTAAACTGCCAGGCTTTGCAGTAAGGAGGCTTATGGTGATTTCTGGCCAGAAATTACTCTGTGTTTATTAAGTGTAGGTTCTTGGTGCGAATATGTTTACTCCTAGTTAAGAAGAACTACTTCAGTTACAAGGTATATTTTGGACGTGGGAGGTGTTGATGCCAATCTCTCCCGGTCCTGTGTGCGTAGTGTGACCATACCTAGGGTGGTGTCCAGAACAGGTGTGGTGTTGAGTTCATGGACTCCTATAACAGAAGACACGTTCAAGGTTCATCTGGTTTTGGAAGTACAGCTTGCTGGGCCTGAACACAAAAAGGCAGTTTGTGTAGCTGTCACCATGGTTTTTGGGGCCTCTTGTGTGGGATCAGTGGTACTACAAGGTAAGCCCTGTAAAATGGGAGCACCCAACAGCCTTGGCTGCTTGTTTGTGTACTGGATCCCGCTGGCTTCTGCACGGAGAAACTTCAACAGCTCATTCTGGGTCTCTGTTAAGAGAAATTACATTACTCTTCAGTGATGTTTTCAGGATTTGCTTCCATCGTGTGCCAGCAGGACATCACAGGTAAGTGAAATTAAAAAAGGGAACTGATGTGAGCAGTGATTTTTTTACAGGCAAAACTGGGACAGTCACTTGGCAACATGTTCTTCAGCTGTCCCAAAGGATTGTCACCATGACTTTGAAGTCAGTGAAAGTCTCTCTTCTGGGCTACCAGAGCGAGGCTTACTCTGGAGCAATGTCTTTGGGAAATGACATTGTGGGCACAGGTTGCTCCGTGGCAATTCCTTTGGCTGGTGTGAAATGAGTATTTAGATAAATGCCTTTGACAYAACTGCTGGAGGCCTGGGAGCTGGCTGTAGGTGGAGTTTGGATGGTTGTAAGAACCGCAGCTGCAGAATCCACAGACTGTTTTCCTGGTTTCCCACTATTTCTGCAATGTCTTGACGCTGATTTTGTTTCTTGAGCACTAATTGTGTCCACACCTGCACAGATCATTTTTGCTGCATCTGAAGAAAGAGAAAAAAGTGAAATTAGGCAGTTCTGAAACCAGGTTAGGGAAAGATTGTGGCAGCTGCAACTGGAATTAGTGGGTGATTAAAAATAAGAGGAAGGAAGCTGGTAGTCCTGCCAGAGGCTGAAGCCATTTTGTGTTCAGGCATTTATGACTCAGGCTGGAAAACAGCCCTTTTGTTGTAGTAATTTTGCAAGCACCTGCATGGCTGTTTCCAGTGTCAACTCCTTTGCACTGAACGCACACCTGAGGGTCCAAATGAGTGTGTTTTTTTCCCCTATTAAGCTATCCTTCAGCATAGCTATAAGATATGGTAAAGTGATCTGGAAGCAGCTCTGTAGCAGCTACTCTGCTGTATCTGTCCCAAGGCCCTGGAGAAAGCTGGASTGGCAGCATCAGAGAGGTGACTGGTGGAGGATCTTATTCAGCAATGCATTCTTCAGCCATCTGTGCAGTCAGTCAGCTGAGCTTTGGCATTAAGGACTTGCTGGAGTTGGAGAAGAGGCTGCCTCACATCTATATTGTATATATTTTAAAATTAAGTTTCAGTCTCATTATGTACTTTACTAAGAAAACGTATAAGTATTTCCTTCCTTTTGCTGCAATATTACAGTTCTGTCCTCTCTCATCCCACTCCAAAAGTGACACCCTTCAGGGAATCACTTAACAGCTTGAAGCAAAGCTGGGATTTGTTGCATTATAGAATATGTAATGATTTTGCGTAGTTTTAGCCACATGCAAACACCCCTGTTCCATGTAAGTTGTGACTTTTGCAGCGTGTCCACTTGTAGCTTAAAGCACAGGACACTGAAAACCTGAGCACTGACATTTCGCCAGTATGTAGCTGATGCACTCTGAAACAGTGCTGACGCAAGAAGTCTATGAAATTTTGACTCTGATTCGAATTTGATGTGTTGGGTATGTAATCCTGAGTTAGAGTGACTGGATCTGCCTTTACAAAGCAGCGATTCATTGGTAGTTATGTTTTAAGCATGTATGGCTTAGCTTGGAAAGTGTAAGAAACAAAGGAGCAAAGCTGTACTTGCCACTGCCTTTCTTTTTTCTGTCATGGATCCTAAAGATCAGGATGAGCAGGAGTCCCTCTCCAAGCTGGAACAGCAAGTAGAGTAGGGGGAAGAAATACAGGGGGCCAATGATCTCTGGGGCGAAGGCAACCTTGAGGATAGCTGAGCAAAGCTGTGTGTTCTGGCAGCCAGTTTCCATGCACACTGTCCGCCTGCACCTGAAGGAAAAAAAGCTAAATAGATTACAGATCTAAATCCCTTTCAAACAACTTAAGAACCCTGCCCACCTTGCTAGTGCATTTGCTTTTGGCTAAAAGCTGCTCTATCAGGAGCAATATTGCAATTCCTAGAAGGTTTTTCATCCTGCTCCTTGTACAGTGGGCAGAGGCAAATCATGTTACAAATGTGAACTTTGTTCTTAATGGTTTTGGAGGCCTTCTGTCCTACTCTGGATTTTGCAGCTTCCTGCAGGGAAGGAATCTCCTTCTGAGGTGGTAGAAGTCCAACACATAAAGGACTAGCAGGATTCCTACCTGGTTTAGGTTAGATGAGGAAAAGAAGGAGGAGTAGGTTTTATATGCTGTGTTTTCATTCTAAATTCCTGGGGCTGCAGCTGAATGTATTGACTAGTTTGGGTTGGTAATCAGCTCAGGAGTAATTTTGTCACTTGGGGTTTGAGCTCTATTGGTATTTCTCAGTTCTTTCTGTTTGGAGTTTTTTGGTGCTAATAATTCTCCCAGCTTCATTACTGAAAGCAGAGGTTGGTCATGTGTTTTACAGGTCACCAGTGACTTTAAGCCAAATCCATACATCTCAGTGAACCTTCCATGGTGATCAGGTGCCTGTGTCAAAAAACCTGTTTAGCTATTCCTCCCCTCTTAGGTAAGCCAAGCAGAGGTTACAGTAATTTCTCTTCCCACTAAAGGTGTGGGAGTTAGCTGCCTTGGGACCAGCTTGTGCTATCTCTGGTTGTATTCCTAGGTCCTGTTTTGGGTGACTGGGATCAGTGTTTTACAGAGATATATCCCTAGTGAAATCCATGTTTTCASCATTTCTCCACCAAGCAGAGCTGCCCTATCTCTCTGTTCCTGATGAGAGAGTGAGGGCAGGGAGGGGTGGAAGAACATACCGGTCATCCAGCTTGAAGGCTGCAGAGACAACATAGCCCAGCAGGAATCCAGTCAGAGGCATTAAGGCAGAAGATCCCAGGAGAGATGGTGAGAAAACGACCATGACACAGCTTCCCTCATTGGCCACAGACAGAACAATTATAGCAGCAGATGACAGTAGAAGCACAACAACCCCCACCTAAAATAAAAGTGATTGAGATGTGGACAAGAGAGAAATCCCCAGCAAAATTTGCCTCAGTTGCTGTAAGCAGTTGTACCTAGTTCCCTGTTCTTCACTTGTGAAGTACATAGAGGGCATAAAAATGTCTTTCATGGGCATAAATGTTAACAGTAATCAACAAGGGACCATCCTGGGCTATTACCTAGAGGGACCTTAACCAAATACCTTTCTGGTCTATATGTAAAATGACTGGTCTTGCTGCACAAGCTGCTTGTTTCTCAGGCATTGCTACGTGTCTCTGTCCAGGTATCTTCGTGGCTCTAGCCCRCCCCAAGCAAGAGCTGAGGAAAACACGTTACTCACAGGCAGAGCCTAGCGGACCTCTTGAGTTATGCAATGGTGTATGTGGTTGCCTGGATTTCTGTTTTGCTGTTTACATGCCTGATGTATAAAAGAGAGAGGGACAGAAATCCAGGCAGAAGTGAGCACTTAGTGATCTAGTGGCTTCTATTGGACAGGTATCTCCATGACTTCAGCAGCAGCTTTGTGATTGGATTTTGGCCTTGTGGTAGACATCTGAGGAGAATGAGGTAGCTTTCATTTGTTATTGTTTGTTAGGTTTTTTTCTGGGTTCTGCTTTGGTTACAGCAGTAGTTGGGGGCAGTGCCCATGAGGTCCATTAGTGCTGATATAGCAAATAAACCCCAAAGTTAAAACTGAAGTGAACAAAGGAGAGTAATGTAAGACATTTGCTACAAACTGTCTGTCTGGGAAAGAAAGAACTTCTCCTTGGGCAGATATTTTAATGATTAAAGCAGCAAAGTGGATGTCTTGAGCTCTATCCTCAGCTTTTCACCAATTTGTGGTATGTCTTAAAGAAGTTAATACATCTGTGATTCTATTTTTGAAAACTTCCTCAAGGCCCTTGACTGAAAGACARTGAGCCCAGGATACTTCTTACCTTGGTGACAAAGCCAGTGTACTGTGGTTTCTTCTCATTCAAGATGATGCCGATGGCACAGGGGATTAGCATCAGCACCAGGGAGGTGATTATTCCTTTGTAAGGTATCTTGCCCTCCAAGTCACCCTCATTCAGTCCTCCCCAGTAAAGGTACAGCAGCAGTGGCATTAATCCAATTGCCAGGACCATCGAGCATGCGGTCATTACGATGCTGAGATGAAGAAAGGACCCCTCAGTAGAAGAATGACACTTCTTAAAAATGGAATATGCTAATCTGATTACTTCCCTGGACAGATCTTAATATAAGAAATTACCTTGCTTTTTCCCATCTTGTAAGTGAGATTTCTCCATTATCACTATCAGGTTGTAGAAGGATGTGACATGAATGGAGAAGGGAGAAGATAACTTGAATTTCATACAAGCTGAGAAAAGACCCTTGTTATGGGTACAGACCATATTTGAGGTACTCACAACTGAGAGAAAAAGTAATACTTTGTATTTTCATGCTGGAGCTTGTTTTATCTTCGGGTTGGTTARAGAGTGTAGTTCTGCTGGTTCAATATTTCTCGCTGATGCAGCCTCTTCAGGCAGCATGATCAGTTTAACAGAACTGCATGGCTAGACACAGCATCTGTATGCTCTATSTACTGCTACACGGAGATGAAAAAATGTTCCTGCATCCATGTCATCAAAAGCAGCATGCTAATGCTTCAGAGAAAGGTACAAATTCCCATTTTATTGTAAATAGGGACAAATTAACTTATTGAGCAATGTGGGTGCTTAAAAATGTTTTTGTCTTAGCATTTCAGTCTTTGTCTAGCTTCTTGGGGCCCACTAATGTTGATTAAACTGGTTTCTGAACCAGTCATATGAGTAGMTTGGCCTGGACAATGAACAGGTACATAGTTTTCCTTACCTGAGGTTCATGTCCCCTCTCAGTGCCAGGCTGAAGATGTTGGAGAGGTTTCCCCCTGGGCAGCAGCCGCAGGTGAGGATGGCCAGGGATTCTGAGGTGCCCAGCTGGAAGAGCTTGCCCAGTGTGAACGCTGCCAAGGGCATGATGCTATACTGAGCCATCACGGCAACTGCCACACCTTTGGGTCTCCTGAGGTGAGCTGTGATCTTGGCTATGTCCATCGTACATCCCAGAGACACCGTGGYGACCAGGAGCGCCACGATGAGGGTGACATTCAGGGCTGTGTCCGTGGCCTGCTGTCCGAACGGTGCCACACTGCCCAGGGAGGCGCTGCTCTGCATGCAGCCTGAGCTCCAAACTTCTGGGCTGTCAAATGCTCCCTTGGTCTTGTTCATCCTGCTGAAGGATTAGGAGGCCASTTCTTCCATCAGTGGCTGGGAAGGTGAGGGAAGGAATGATTCAAAGGTCCAAAAAACATTAAATTACTGCAAGCAAAGCATGAGCTCTCTTTCAGGACACTGCTCTTACCCTTCAACAGCTGTTGGAATAGAAATCCACGTTTAGAGCAATCAGCTGTGAAACCCATTCACTTTAGAAATATCCTCTGCAGTTTGTGTAGCTTCTGCTCTGGTCCTCCACCTCTTCCAGCATCCACCTCACAGTGGGTGACAGCTGGTGACAGCAGGAGGCAGGCAGTTCAAGGTGGGTAGAGAAGACAGGTAAAGATGGGCACTTCATACAAAAGAAAATGACCCAGAGCTCCTCTCATCCAGATACTGCTGAGGCTAATGCTTGAAAACGTGCATCAAGGGTACTTTGTTTTTAATGAGATTGTATTTACTCTTCTGGCCATAAATCAATCTTTTGATAGCAAGGTCTAGGAAGAAATTTCTYTGTGRATGAGTAATTTCTCTAGTAAGTTCTTAGGGGCCTTCATGTCCCTTTTCTTGTTATGATAAGCCTGACATTGTCTAGGAATTTTTTACTTGCATATAGGAATTAATTCTCTGAGCTTTACCAACACTGAAAATATCCCTCATTGGCACTGAGGGAAGGTTCTGCATGGTAGGAACCTCAGCTGACCTGTGCAGTGCACGGTGGGCTCGATGGGCACAGCTGTGCTGCCTTCAGGACCTGGGATGTTGTGCCCTGTGACCCAGCCGGGGCTGCAGATATCATACAAGCTCTCCAAGCAGCTTTTACCCTCCCCAGACAAACCTGCCAYGTGCTTTCAGCACAAACCTGCACGGTGTGACACACACTCAGTGCTCTGGTGTGCAGGGAAGCAGGGTCTGGGCAGCTGGTGCAGGGCTGGGAAGAGGGACTGGAAAGGTGCTTGATCCTCCAGCTCCTGCGAGGGTGATTGCTGCTCACCCTGCCMCTGCTCTCTGGCCCTGGCTGTACAGGGAATGCTCTTCCCTACCCCTGCCATGCCCTCAGGTGCCATGCTTCCTCATCCCTCAGCAGGTTTTGCCTTCATTTATGGCAATTTTTGCCTTCGGATGACCTGAGCAGGCCCCTAGGCCAAGGGGGGGACTCTAGAAACAGAGCTGAGCGCATTAAAGCAGAGCAAAGGGGATGGTGTTACCTTAGCACCGGTGGATTTGGCTGTGGGAAGCTTGGGCAGATATCTGCTGGCTGCTCCGTCCGTTCCTGGCTGAGCTGGGTCAGCGATAGCACTCTTCAGTCCTTCTGCTTTAAGAAAATCCCCCTTGGTAAAATCCTGTCCTCTGCTTGCAGGATATAAAGCCTGGGTCTACAAGAGCCTCACAGATAGGGAAGTTGCTGTTATATGACATTGTACTAGCACGACTGGGGGAGGGATTTTAACCAGGGAGATTGGCTGCACTGTGGCTGAGCTCTGATTGCTTTGCTGAAGGGCATTAGGACGCTGCAGCAGCACATCTATTGCTCCTATTCATCTGGGAGCCCAGCAGGCTCAGCCCTCCAGCCCCATTGCTCTGGAAACACTGCTGGAGGCAGGCAGGAATGTCAGAGCTGCTCTCCGTGTTCCTCCCCACTTGCTCTTGCTTGGGTTGGGAACTTTGTTTTCCAGGCTGGCAGCCAGGCCGGAAAAGCACCAGAGACAGCTCASGAGGCCACACAGGCATCCCCATGGGGTGGGAAGGAGCAGCGCCTGCAGCTCCCAGTGGCTCTGCACATCCATGCCCACAGCTTCTCCTACACCTTGGTGAGCACCGCACAGCCATTCTTGGGGACAAGGGTCCCTTCAGCAAATCACAGGAGTGCCTTGAGTCCCCTGTGTCTCTGTGGTGCCAGAGCAGTGCCTGGGCTCATTGCTGAGCCCTGGCTGAGCAGGTGGGGTGAGGTGGCCTGCAGCACTGCGTGCATTTCAATTTTCCGTGGGCATCTGCAAGACTAYCAGGCACAAGCAGCACATGGGCAAGATCCACAAGAAGTAAGAGRATATGCAGGAGCAAAACCCACAGCRATTCCTTATATCTTTCTATCCCTCTCTTCAAATTTTTTTTTTCCGTGTGAATCTCCTTCAATTCCCAAAGAAATGCTTTTTTTTCCACTGTGTTTGCCTTTTAGCTGTGTGCTGAATTTTGTAAGAAATGCAAAAGGAGCCAAGACAAGCAACTAAGTGGTTATAAAGTGTCCCCTCCTCGGCAGCACCCTCTTTTCCCCTAAACTCAGTGTAGCTCAGGTATTTAAAGTGACAATGTTCGAATGCTCTCACCCTTTGTCTTTGCACGGCTGTAGAAGAATGTTTCAATGACTCTAATATTTAAAAAAACCCCAAAATCCTGCTAGCTGTTCATTGTTCAAGCATTCCGGCTGGTTCCCAGAAGTTAATGCAGAAAACAGCACAGGAGCCAAGGAAGAGACTGGTTGAGGAAAGCAGAATAAATTAGGATCATTATTTCACCCTGGGTCGTGCTTGGACATCCAGTCATTCGATCTGGACGAGAACGGCACCTCAGCCCTGAAGCTGCTGCTCCTGCGGTGGGGCTGGGCGGTGGGATGGCCCAAGGGCTGTTTGGAGGAAGGAGGGTTCTCCCGTTCCGGGGGATATGGCCATGACCTGGTGTGGTTCAGAGGATGCTTTTGCCTTGCAGAAGCCCTCTGTTAATTCCTGGGCAGAGCGTGCCCTTTCC